TTTTTTTTTAGCTTCGATCCTCAAAGTCATAATAAACATAGGCACTGAGAAGTTTGATTGGTAGCTAATTAAGAATATTGTAACTATTGTAAAGGGCAACTCATTCTTTTAAAGAGTTTATCACTTCTTTCAGCCGTTATCAAGACGATCCGTGCGCGATCGTATTTGTCACCGAGTAATTGCCTTCTTTTTTCCCTCATTATCACCAAAGATTCGAACGTTTCTTTTCAATATGCTACCAGCTTTCATTATAGTCACACAGTAGTGGAATGAAATCAGTTACTCCTTCGTCAAAATCCTCATCTCCTTCCGTGTCTTCCTCGCTAAATGCCGAAACGGATCGCAAATATGCAGTGTACGGTATTTTTCTCCTGCATGGCATAGGTATGCTCATGTCATGGAATATGTTTATCACTATAGCACCCCAGGTGAGTGACAATGAAGACTTTATCAGAAAAGCAAAGAAAAAAATTGGAACAATAGTTGTTTGAACAAGATTGCGCGACAAATTTTGAAGTTATCAATGCGACTTTTAGAAACATAATCAATATGATTTTTAGTATTATGTGTCTTACTGGTTTACCGTAGACGGAAATGTCACACACTATGCAGAAAGCTTCATGAGTGTTCTCGGTGTAACATCGCAAATCCCAAACGTCGGAATTATGTTCGTTAATATGGCGATAGTAGTTGCGTGAGTTTCGTTGTACAATCTCTATTTTATTGAACCTACAATTTCATGCATTGCAGGGGATCACAGATAATACGAATCTTTATTCCTCTAATCATCAATTGTTTGCTAGTCGTGGTTATCATAGCACTTGTCATTTTTGTGCGACCAAACGATGACGGTAAGTTGCTTGTTAGCGCAAAACTACTAATGATCGAAAACTATCTAAATGCAGTAATTGCGCAATGGTGTTCATTCGGCACTCTGTTGCATAACGAATAATCTAGAAAATGTTCCAAGAATCTGGCTTAACACGAACGTTAGACTAGGTAATTGATAAAGTATGCGACCAAGACTAATTCCGCCGCACATCATAAATATGAGGTGATGTTACTGCTCAGTGATAGTAGGAATGAATCTAAATATTGTAGAATCTAGGTAATTATGTGGAATATTAGACTGCTCTTAAACCAAGCTGATTTCATCCATCATAGGACTTCAAAAAGTAAAGGACCACAGAAAAACTGTACAAAGTGAAATATTA